ATTGCCTCCCCTCCTCCTACCCCATCCCCAACCCCACCCCCACCTCCCCCGCGGCTGTAAAGCGCCCCCGCCTTCTCCCCACTGTCGCGAATGCCGCCGGCCACGGGCGGCCCCTCCGGCCGTAAAGCGCGCCCGGCCCGGCCGCAAATGCAGGTGTCGCACAGCGCCGCGAAGAGGCTTGGAGGACTCGGAGCATACGGGATGCGATGGGTAGAGCGCCCAACTTCCGGGTTCGCGACCACAGAGAGCGGCGGCGCGACCGGCCCTCCCCCCAGGGCAGACGAGCCGAGCCGAGCCGGGCGGCTAGAGCGGCCCGGGGCAGGAGGCAGCATAGAGAAGCAGGACGTGCTGGCCGGAGCGCCCCCCAGGGGCGGCAGCATGACATCAGGCCAGATCTGATGATGTCATAATCAGACGTAGTGACATCACCACCTTCTGCGGTGACATCACGGCCTCCCACAACGCCATCGTGACAGATCTGGTGATGTCACCGTTGGGCGCTGTGACGTCACAGCGAATCCGGCGAGGTCTTGGCCACACGCGATGCCGTAGCAACGCCAGGGTCAGGCGGGGTGGTGACCTCGCGTGGTGACGTCACCCCCATACGCTGCACCCCGGGACCGCACGGCGACACGTCCCCTGCGTGTGGGTGCGCGTTAGCCCGTGTTCTCCTGCCAGGCCCTGTTGGGGGGTGTTGAGAGAGGCTACCGGTGTGGTGCTTCTGCTTTCTCCTGTTGATATCACTCGGCTGCGTGCGTGTTCCCTCTGTGTGCGGCCCCAGCTCTGCAGATCGCTGACCCCGCAAACCCGACGAGAACCCCCAATGACCACAGAGTCTAGTAAGCGACAAAGGCACCTCGGACAGGTTTATTGCGGCCTCGGACACAATTGCAGTTCCCCATAGATTACTTAGTCTACCGGGCATGCTACTAATAGATGTCTCTTGGCAAGGACCCGGCTCATTGGGGGACTTTCCACTGCCCCCGTGGCCGGACAAAGACACCACCCCAGGGATACATTTTTATACAGGGGTACAAACAAGTTACACATCACTCCTGACGTATTGAGGTGCAACCCCTTCACGTAGTAAGGTGCCGCCTCGCACCTTGTACATGTTGGTTCGATCAAAACAACTCTATCCATCATTTTACCCTTTTGCCCCCGTCATTGGGATGGGTCGGCCTGTTCCATGTTATCTGTGGAATGTTCCGGTATAGTGTGTGTTCTGATATCTGGTGTTCAGTACTTTTTAGGTATGTCTCTTTTTGCAGCATCAGCCCTTTCCTTGCCAGCTTCTGTGAGCAGGGCCTGCCTCTGGCTCACAGCTTAACTTTGCTTTATGTTAGCGAAGTCTTGACCATTACTTTAGTTCAGGCCTTAGGCCTCATACCAGGCCTCTGATACCAAGGTTTCTATCGCAGGGCCTCCTCTTACTACAGGGGGGGCCACACACCCGGGGGTGGGGCTGGCGTGTCCTTGTGTGTTGGTGCATGTTCGTGTGTCCATCCATGTAGGCGTGTAGGTTAGCACAAGCATTTGTGCGATATCTGTGCGTGTGTGTCAGTGTGTGTGTGTGCTGCTGATGCATGTCACTGCAGGTGTGTTCGGCACACACGTTTGTGCATTAAGCCGTGGCAGTGCATGCGGGGTGGTTGCATGTACACATGTTCTGGCATGTTGGCATGTGCTTGTGTTCATGCGTGTGTCAGCGCGTGTTTGACACATGTCCCTTAGCATGTCAGTGCATGTGCGGGTACACGTGAGTGCCTGTATGTTAGCCTGTGTTGGTGCATCTGTGGCTGTTACCGTGTTTGCATGGCAGCGCATGGGGCTGTATGCCAGCGAGCCCCTACAGGCCTGTCCTGTGGATATCTGCAGCGGGACGGGGACCCCGACATCTCCTCTCCCCTGCGGGGCGGGGCCAGCCTAGCTCAGCGGGGGGGGAAGTGAAACCCTGGAGGGTGGGGAGAGCTGGGGCCCATGGGTGGAGCAGCCAGTGGAACCAGCGTGGGGAGCAGGGAGAGGAGGGTGAGGCTGGGCTCCCTGGCTGGGTTGGGGGATCAGATCTGGACCCCGCTGTGCTGGGGTGGCGGGGGGTGGTATTTGGCCCTCCTCTGCAGAGCTCCGCTCAGGTTGCTGCCTGGGGGGTAGTACCAAATTGCAAAGACCCCCCCCTTCCTGTCCCAGTCCCCTCCCGGGCTCCTTTTCCCCGCCCCGGGTCCCCCCCCCTCCTGTCCCAGTCCCCTCCCAGGCTCCTTTTCCCCGCCCCGGGTCCCCCCCCCTCCTGTCCCAGTCCCCTCCCGGGCTCCTTTCCCCCACCCTGGGTCCCCCCCCTCC